CCTGCCGTGACCCCAACTCCTGGTTTCAAGTAGACGACTGGCCAATTTACTCGGAAGGTGAGTGCTTGATTATTGGATGTGTTTGGCGTGTTTTCGATAATTAAACAAGTGGTACGACTCCAGTCCGAGGGCGTTCGACTTCGATATACCTTTTATAGGCAAGGCAAGAAAATAAAAAGGGCATAGATATTAAATAAATAAATTAATGGGGTGATAGTTTGAATCCCGCGGATCGGATTCCTTAGCACCCTGTAATATTTATTGTAGCTATCGTTTCTCTGGCAGCTATGATATCCATATAAAAAAATAAAATATACCAAAAGCGATTTGCACCGATTGTTGGAGCTATTAAAAAAGGGCTACATACTTGTACTAAGTATGATTTGTAATGAACTTGGTGTGTGTATAGATAAGACCAGCTTACCCGTCAAGAATAATGTGTCAAACTTTCATGTTTCCCCTCATATCCATATCCAACGAATTGCAATGCACTCTCTGTAATGTTAATTTCTCTAAGCTGTCCTGCGAAGTATGTTAAGTCGTTAATCGAAAGACTCAAAGGCTTTGTTTTTCAATGCGTTAAGTTATAAACTATTTTGTCTTTAACGCCTTTTATCTTTATATGTAAATATCAGTAGGTCTTTGCATGTTTGGAAATATGGAAATAACTCAAAGTGACGCCGGGAAACACTTCAGCTTTCTTTTTTAGGTTGTAACAGCCACATGCTGAGCACGGATAAAACTTGAGCTTGCTGGCTTTTATGGGCAGGCATTTCGTGTACTATATTCGTAAAAACAGCACAATCGTTTAATTGCAAAATTGGCTTTTATTTTTCACTTTGCTTTTTTGAAATGAACCCAACCTTTTCGAACACTTTTATCCCCCATAGCGGCACACATTGAACTCAGCCTGCAGTTCGCTGGTCATGCAAATCAATTTCTGAACATTTCGAACAATTTCTGTGCCTCTTTGTGCAATTGACGGGCGGATAATTAACACTGGAAAGCTTACACAAACACGCATACTCGTACAAACACATACACAGTTTTTGCATTGCAAAAAACTTTAGGCAAAAAACTCTTATGCGAGGGTACGTTGCGTTGAGGAAATGCGTCGAGAAAAATCTCTTCCACAAAGTTAATTTCCTTGTTTATTTAAATTTCAAAGCGGTGCCAAACTACAAAGAGAACAACTTCATGCCGCGACCTCGGTTTCTACAAAGGTGTTGCTTGTGCCTGTGCCTGTGACTGTGCCTGAACCATAAACTGGATTAAATTTCGTTTAAAATGTAAATGGAAAAGCACGAGGAAGAAAAAGTGCGCGACAAACTGACACTTAGAGATGGTGAGCCTGTCCTATGGTGTGGTGGGCTGGCGGCTGAGAGTGAGAAAAAGTGAATTATGGCCAAATGGCATTTGTGTCGAAACATCAAAAACTAAACAAACAGCAACACTTCATCCAAACATCAAAAGCGGCCATTTTGTTGCAGCCTAAGCCCAAAAACCAACCCAAACGTGGCCCGCAAATTGCGTTAGGGGCGGAGGGGAAAGCACAGAATTGAAAAAAGAAGAGAAAACATTTTCTTTGGCAGATCGCAGGCATAAAAAAATCAAGTATTTTACACCTTATCAATTTTGTTAGATAATCAAAGCGATGACGATGATGGTGGCGACTAAGACGCTCAGCCACCCCTTGCTGGTGTGTCGGAAAAGCAAAACCTCTTGAATTGCATCATCAACTCCATTGCCGCTGCGGATGAATGTTGCCCTTGTTGTTGTTTTTGTTGTTGCTGTAGCCGCAGCCGCTGCTTGTGCCACAGTGTCATTAAGGAAGTCAAAAACTTAGACCCCCACATGGTTGACGACGGGCTTGGGGGAAGCTGCTGATGGCACTGAGGTCGCATCGTGTGACAGCAAGGTTGACATTTATTTTGATTTCAGCTCGAGTGCAACACTCTTGGGGCATGGGCCGGGTGCCGGGCGGGTGATGGAAGAGGAGAGCCGGGGGCGTGTGGTGTGTGCGTATCTTTGGCTTGATGCTGTCACTGTCTATACATTTGCCGCAGCTTCCTTCCACTTTTCCGTACCTCCTTCCAGGTAAACCGTGTGCTCATGCTAATGTGCAACCAGCTTAGCTGTTGCGAGGGTTGCCTGTTTCTGTTCAGTTAGTTTTTGGCTTTTTGGCTTTCATTGTTGTCGTTCTTGTTGTTGTCGTTCTTGTTGTTGTTGTTATTGTTATTGGTGTTGTTGCCGCTGTCATCGTGGCATGAAAGCCACTAAATTGAATTTTATGTGCCAACTTTGATGTGCGTTTGTTAATGGCTGCTCCGCGTTGCCGGAGCCCTGGCTGGTAAATGCTTTCACCCTCAAGCAGTGCAGAGTGAAATTTACGATCCTTGCTTAACAAATGGCCAAAACTCTCCGAGTTTTGGGTTAATCTTCGCCCAGGTATTTTACCCAATCCGCAGGCATCGCCACCATATCGTAACTGGCCGACAGCAACAATTGCAACATTTGCCACACTGGCATGCAAATTCAATGAAATATTGTTCTGAAAATATCCTACAGCTGTACAAAGTGCAAAGCAAACGCTTTTGTGCACAAGTTACCCTGCAGAATGCCAACAATGTGCTTGACCAGGGCCAGTTTCTAAGCAATGGCCATGAATGCCACTGCCACCTCAGTCTCCACGACCACCAATCGACGGAGCTGGAGACAGCGACGTGCAGCATGAAATTCCATGCATAACTTGTAGCAGCGCTTAAACATACAACGAGACGAGCATATGTAAAAGACCAGCGCATTCACGCACACATACCAGTACACACATACACACATCCACACATAGTTGTGGCCGCCATAAAAAAGCCCAAGCAAAAAATGAAAATGAAAATAAAAATAAAATGAGGAAAATAAGGCAGCCAAGTCACTAAATTGTGTGCCCCTAAAAGTGTCCGGCAACACATAATGTCTCAGTGTGTGGTCGTGTGTTCATCTGTCCAAGCACAATGGGACAATATATCAAAATTCTGGTGGGGATACAGTAATAGCAGAAGTATTTTCATATTAATCTTATAAAAGCAAAATAAAAGTATCTACCTATCTGTCGGCCTTTGCTTCTTAATGGACTAATTGGAATAAATATATAATATTAAAACTAATAGACCTACCATCCTTACATCACCATAGAATTTGTTCACAAATTCCTTCACAATCTTCATTCTGGTGACATAGACTCCCCTTTCCCTCTTAGCCTCGTGGACTTGGCAGTTCCCTTAAGATTTACTCTTGCATTTCGTACCCTTCGATTGCCTATTTGTAGATCTAACTTTGCTTCACATGAATCCTTTCGTGTGTTGTGTTCTAATTACAATCTTTTTTCACACATCATGTCCTTCGAACACGCCATTAAGACCATTTCATCATTAATATATCATTAATACTTGAAACTTTATTCTGACAGTCTCTAATCCTATCTTAATCTACTACTTGTTTCACTTGTTGAATTTTATTTCAAGGTTTACTAAGTATTTAATATATTTTATTCTATTGTATATTTATAAGTTGTTTTTTTTTCTTCCTATTATTATTATTTTATATTGATATTGTTATTTTTCTGCAAAGTTGGCACTTCTTTGTTGCCTATAAATAAATAAATAAAAGTATAGTAAGTAGGTATAACTGACAGCCTCACCGATCTTTATTCATAATATTTTGCAAAGTTATTTGTATCTATTTAATTTTTATGATATAATTATCTGACATCTAATGAGGGTTGATATCTTATCTGTGTTCATAAAAAAGGTAACATTAAAAAATTTCACTCCGATACGAGAATCGGCCTTAGGAGGTGAGGTGATTGAAATAGACCGATGGATAAATGGACTATCATCGTTTTTGGGTTCGTCTCATCATGTTGATCACATATGTACGTGTATAGGGAGTATCTTTCTTCTAGGTGTTTCGGGTGTACACCCCAAAAACAATATACCCTTACACGTTTTATTATTATTTATAAATATCAACTACATATTTTGGATTTAAAAGAGTTATTACGCAAAGTTTATAAATAACAGGAATACTGAAAATAAGAATATCGGATTGACCCTTTTATAAAATCAAGAATACCAGGCTTAGAAAAATGTCAAAGAGTAACAGCTGTACGGCCATTATGAGAAATCCCAATCCAACTTAGAAGTTATATTTATGTATTTAATGATTTATAATTAGTTTATATTAAAATCAATTGAGTGATTAAAATTTAAATTTAATACTTCTTTTTTACTGTAATGATATGATTTCAAGTTTATTTAGGCTGCTAACTCTAGCTTCGGAACGATTTGAGTACATTAAGTATATTAATAATATAATATAATAATAATAAAAGATATGGCGGTATCTTAAGAGCAGTAGTAAAACAACCTATTTCTCATAAGTGGTTAGTAAGTGGGTTTATAAGTCTTCTTTAGTACATTATTCATAGAATATATTGAGTATTCTGAATACATTTACGGCCAGTATAAATCCATTGTATTACACACTTACATTTGAGGTAATTTTTTGCTGATTGGCCCAGTATGCGATGTTGGAGGCTATGTGAGTGTGCGTCGTCTAGCTCGTCCAATGGCCGCAAGGAATTTCACACAATTGCTGGAAAAATTGCAGAAAATTGAAAATGTGCGAGAGCGTATAAATTTTTACTGCGTCACTTGTAATGCTAAATTGTTGTTATTTATGGCCCTGGCAGTCATTGCATACTTTTGACCGTCTGCACAGAAATTGAATTAAACAAACAGATTCTTTGAAGCAACACTTTTTACTCTTCGAGCAATTAGCGCACACGTGCCCCTCGTTCAACTCCAATGAGTGGCATCAACAATTTGTTGAGGCATTGCAGCACACAAGTGCTCAAGCATCAACCAATGGTTATGCCACTTATGGGGAAGAAAAGCAAAAGGCCACCATTGCGAACACAATTACATAAGTATAACTGATTACAACTACATTCTGAGCAAGCCTCTCTTAAACACATTTAGGCTGGTACGTGCGAAGCTGCGGAAGAAGCCTCGCCCACAACTGGAGGTGAATGACAGTATCATCAGATAGACGCCTAACGAGATGGCATACTTGTTGGCCTCCGCCCAGTTCAGCAGCTGGCGGCAGGGCTTCTGTGCCTCAAATTGCCTGCAGCTCTGGCCATAGATCAGGATGTACGAGATTTGTATGCAACTCGCATTGTTGACCAGCACACGGCGCCCGTCCCGAACTCCTTGCTCATCTGCCTCCAGAACGACATACTTGGGAGCGCAGACCAGCTCCACAATGGCGACACATCGCAGCAGGGAGCCGCATCGAGAACCGCCCCAACCGGCTCCAGGCGGACTTCTCTTCAATGCTTCGTTGACATCGCTGGTGAGCACTAGGGGCTTGCCTTCGGGCAGTCTATCCGCCGTCAGCAGGCCATAGAAGTGCTCCAGCTTGCCCCCGTAGTAAGCCAGCTTGACGGGATGCTGTCTGCAGAGGCGCGCATACGCTTTTGTATGGGCGCTCTTCGGACTAGGCGTGACCTCCAGTATTTGGCTAGGCATTTGGCGTGGAGGAGCCACACGAAGATACGCAAACAATGATTCAAATTGACACTGACTGAGAGAGTTGAGGGCGACCCGCTCGCCATGCTTGACCAACACAGAGTGCAACAGCTTCATCACATCCGGACGACAGGGGCCATAATTGCAATGGAGCAGCCGCTGCTCGACCACCTCTAGGCGCGGCACATCTCCAATTATGTCATACACTTTGTTTATGTTCGGTCGCTGCTGTTCGTTTAGAAACTCCTTCGGAAAAGGAAGGACCAGGGATTCGAACTTATAGCTCGTAACGGCTGCCACAAAAAGCGACCACCGGGCATCGCACGCCAGTAAATCAGATTGGAGGTGCGCCTGCACCTGATACAGACGTTGCAAGCCCGGCTGGGCAGCCAGCAGCTGATCCCTGCTGTAGTCCGCGAACTGGGCCTTGCAGGCCGCTCGTTGCGGAACTGAATCACGCAACTCGGCCTTAGTCTTGCCCGTTCCGGGTATTTGTATATAGGGCAGCACCTTCATTGTCTCCGGATAAGTGCAGCTCAAAGGCGCGTAATTTTGCAAGCCGAAATGGATTACGGAGCTTTGTTTGCGTACTGCTAAACGAAAATTTAATCGAAAACTTAAACAAATTTGAACTCCTTTTTTTCCAATGTATCACCAAATAGGGTTAGACAAACAACTGATGCTGACATTTGGCGCCACGTACAGGGGCCATCGGAGCACGGAAGAGTGTGGGACGTTCGACAGCAGGTCTCCTGAGCCGGGATAGAGATTGACGCGTCCTCTGTACTCCGGGTGCGACTACCCCGGTTTTGTGCCATATCACCATTTTTTGTCAAGTTTCAATTTGGCGGCGTCTGACATGGCATGATTGCACGTTGGGGTTGCGTGCGACAGGGTGGGATTGGGATGGTGGGTGGGGGTATGTGGGCTGGAAGAACAGGCGTTCTGTAATTGATTAATGGACCTGCAGCGCAACGCGCAACTTATGTTCGATTGCATGTTTACAGGGTTGCTGGCCCATGCCACTGACCCATGACCGAGCGAGAGCAATCAATTGGGCCATATAGAGTTATGGTTGAGATGGTTGTTGCCAATTTAACACTGAAAATCTCTCTCAAGCCGAGAATGTAGACACTCGTTAGAGACATCAAGGTTCTCTACTTGTAAGTATTCATCACAATACTATAACTAGATGTCTTAATATACAACAATACAATACAATATAATAGGTGGCAAAAGTTCAATTACATATAATTAAAATAATTTATAGAAAAAGTGAAATTGGAATTTCTATTCTATTCTCTATTCTAGTTTGTATTCTACTCGCTATTCTCTGTATTCCACTCTCTTTTCTACTTTCTATTCTAATCTGTATTCTAATCTGTTTTCTACTCTGTATTCTATTCTGCATTCCATTGTATATTATATTCTCTATTCTACTCTCTATTCTGTTCTGTATTCTACTCTCTATTCTACTCTGTATTCTGTGTTTTACTCTATATTCTATTCTGTGTTCTACTGTGTATTCTATTCTCTATTCTATTCTATTCTCTATTCTATTCTTCTACTCTCTATTCTCTGTATTCCACTCTGTATTCCACTCCCTATTCTACTCTCTATTCTATTCTGTATTCTTCTCTATTCTATTATATTTTATTCCCTATTCCATTCAGTATTCAATTCTCTTTTCTATATCTTATTCTCTATTTTATTCTCTTTTCTTTTCTATTTTTTATACCCTGTACCCAAAGGGTAAAAGGGTGTATTAGTTTTGTGCGAGTGTACATGTAACACACAGAAGGAGGCGTGGCAGACACCACAAAGTATATATATTCTTGATCAGGATGACAAGCCGAGTTAATATAGCCATGCCCGTCAGTCTGTATGAACGCAAGGATCTCAGAGAGTATAAGAGCTAGAATAACCAAACTAGGTATCCAGATTCTACTACGCCCGAGAAAGGACAATTTGTGTTGATTTTTCCCGATGCACCCCCTATTGCCCCCCGCTTCCACGCTATTCGCGATTTTCTATAACTCCCGTTATTCTTGGAATTTTGAACTAAAATTTGGTAGTCACATCCAGTTCGTGATTATATATCCGTATTCCAAGTTATAGCCATATAACCAGGCATGTATGCATGTGCTGAATATGTTATATATATAATTTAAACTAATTAAATTTTTTAGATATTTGGTTTTATATACCCTGTACAAGTAGGGTAAAAAGGGTATATTAGGTTTGTGCAAAGTATGTAACATGCAGAAGGAAGCATCTCCGACCCCATAATGTATATATATTCTGAATCAGCATGACGAGAGAAATCGATCTAGACATGTCCGTCCGTCCGTCCGTCTGTCCGTCCGTCTGGATGAACGCAAGGATCTCAGAAACTATAAAAGCTACAAAAACCAAAGTTGGTATCTAGATTCTTCTTCCCCCAAGTTCGCTCTTCTTCTTCCTCTTTTTGCTGCTGCTCTGGGCGCATATAACTCAATGAGGGAAGTTTACCTGGGTACAGGGTATTATACTGTCGGGCTTTCTCGGCTGTAGCGTTCTCTCTTGCTTATAGTAGGCTTTCCACATATGACTATATAAGAAGATACATAGATCGTAATTGAGTCTCCACACAAAATGCATTCGAAAAAGTTGAGTAAAAAATCAGAAGTAGCACCCAAAGAGCCGAATTGCGACGACACTGATGGCAAGTACAATAGCTTCGAGCATATGCAGTGTATTCAGGACACGTTCTGGCGCAACGACATGAAAGAACCGCCGTGCTTGCACACGGGCCTGGAAATGGTGAGAAATAGCGGCTTCAACAAGGGCCTGGCCTATACAACCCGGGAACGCCAGCTGCTGAGCATACATGGCTTACTGCCGGTGGCCGTGCGTAGCATTAAAGAGCAAATGGAAGTATGCATGGAAATTTTTAATTCACTGACCACCCCCATAGAGAGGTATCTCTATATGAGCGACCTGGAAAGAATAAATCGTCATCTATTCTATCGCCTGATGCTCACTTCGCTGGATAAATTCATCAAGGAGCTGGATAACTCATCTGCCTCGTTCCAGATAAACAACTACAGTCTGCTGTTCATAAACCCCAACGGGCTTTTTATAACCATTAAAGATCGGGGTCACATTTTCGAAGTGCTCTCGAACTGGCCGCATCGTAACATCCGATGTCTTCTTGTCACTGATGGCGCCGAGGTGCTCGGCTTGGGCGACTGTGGTGCTCATGGCATGGCTTTGGCCATAACAAAGCGTTGCCAGCACACATTGTTTGGTGGATTGCATCCAGACTGCTGTCTGCCCATCATGCTGGACGTTGGCACGGACAACGAAGTCCTGCTCAATGATCCGTTGTACATTGGTCTGCGTCAGCATCGCGTGACGGGCAAGGAATATGATGATTTCTTTGACGAGTTTATAGTGGCCGTCCATCGACTTTACGGACCGCGTGCGATCATTCAGTGCAAGGATTTTGGCACAAATAATGCCGTCGCCCTCTTGGAACGCTACCGCAATCGCCAGTGCTTCATCAATGCGGATATACAGTGCTTGGCCGCCTGTGGGTTGGCCGGCATAATGGGTGCCAAGCCCTTGACCCATAAGACGCTTGAGCAGCACGTGTTACTTTTCGTTGGGGACAACTACTTCAACATTGGAATGGCGCGTCTTTGTATGCTTTACTTTAAACGGGAGGGCTTGGATGAGGCTGTAGCCAACAATCTTATCTGGTTTTGTGATGAGCATGGGTTGGTGGTCAAAAATCGGAAAAATCCAGTCCCCAATGCTCTTCAAAATTTCGCGAAGCGGCACCGACCAGTTGAGCACTTGGCAGAGATTATTGAGATAATCAAGCCTACCGTCCTTGTGGGCTGCTCCGGACAACCCAATTCGTTCACGGCAGCTGTGCTTAATGCAATGGAAAAGAGCGCAGAGATTCCAATTATATTAGCCATGACACGGCCCGCGGAGCACGCAGAGTGCAGTGCCGAAGATGCTTTCGTGCGCACAAAGGGTCGCTGCATATTCATTTCTGGCTCTCAGATACCATCCGTAAAATATGCGAACAAACGGTACCAGCCGGGATGCTGCAGCAGCGTCCTCATGCTATCCGGCATCATCTTGGGCATCGTCCTCTCTGGCATGACCACCGTTCCGGATGAGGCGTTCCTTGTGGCCGCCGAAAGGATATCGGAACTGGTGTGGCCGGAGGACTTAGAGATGCGAGATGTCTTTCCACCGCTTCGTAAAGTTATGTGCATTAATCTACAGGTGGCTATGGCTGTCTTCGACTACGCCTACCGACGTGGCCTGGCTACTTTCTTTCCGCAGCCCGAAAAGCCCCGTCAGTTTGTGGTGCAGTCTCTGTATAAAAACGAATACCGGGACTATGTGAACGAGGTCTATTGTATGTCTGACCGCTTTATTGGAACTGAGGAATCGCGAGCCCACTACAAATAGAACCCGAGCCCACTTCACTTTTCAACTTTTGTTATTGTTGTCCAATGCTCTTTAAAATACAAATAATCAACCACCTATTACATATTATTTTTTATGAAGCCTACGCTTTCATTTCAAAATGGTTAGAAACTGGATATTATGTTCATACTACCTATAGCCTTATGTTCTGTTATATAAAATAATTTAAATAAAATTCATCTTAAGGTACGTCGGACCTCACACCCGTGAGCCTATACGGCACTGAAGTACGGACATGAAGAACATCAGATAAGGCGAAAGTGGTAACTTCCGAATACCGATCTACCAATAGTATAGCCAAGTGCTGGTTCTTAATATGGTAGCCCATAAAATTGTATACTAATTGTATACTCTGTATATGAAATGTACAAGAGTATATTAGGTTTGCGGGAGCTGAAAATGTAACAGACAGGACGAGGCGTGGCAGACCCCACAAAGTATATATATTTTTGATCAGCCCTGTCTGTCCGTCCGTCTGTCCGTATGAACACCTGGATCTCAGAGACTTTAAGAGGTAGAAACACCAAACTTTGCACAAAGATGCGTTATGTGTGTACGCTGTGCAAGTTTGTTTTATTTTTGTGATATTCCCCCCACTTCCCCCTTATGGGGGTTTTCTCAGCTTTCCATTTGTATAATCGCCTATATCTCGGAGACTACCCGACTTTAGCTTTTTTTATTTGTTTTGATTTTCCCCCTCTCATCCCCTGGTGGGGGATTTCCCGATTTGCCGTTCGTATAATCATATCTACCTATATCTCGGAGGCTATAATACCTAGGGACACACAATTTTAGCCCCAGATGCCTTATGTGAATACGCAGAAAGTGTGCGTTTTGGTATTTCCCTCCCCCCTCTCCAACACAATCAGTTATTATCCATAACTCCTGTGTTTCTTGGAATTATTCTTTAAAATCCAGTTAGTGATTATGAGTCCGTATGCCAAGTGACATAATGATTGGCCGATTTAACAGGAAGTTATAGCCACATCTGGGAAGCACAGCTCTAAAGTGTACTGACGGTGCCGTTGCCTTATCTTTCGCACTTTAAAAAGTCCCCAAACATGCGTTATTTATTGATATACTCGTGATAAATTATGACTCCCAAGGGGGAGGAGCGCACCACTTCGTTTCATTTTTTCGAGGCCAGCTGCAGGTGTCTGTGGAATCGGCGGCTTCGTTGGCGCCAGTCTCGAAATCAGTTAACCACGAAAGTTTGCAACTTTCTCAGTTGCCTGCGTGCGAAATCAAAGTTTGAGTTTATTCAAATAAACGCCGACATTAAGAGAGTTGCAACTGTTGCTGGCGAGGCACAGCCGGCACAGCCAACTCAGCTAGCATGGAGCATCGAAGTGTGGCGCACATAAATCAACAGCTACCAACTTTTTTGTCTTGATAAACTTTTTTCTATTTTTTGGGCCGAAGGTGGTGCGTCACTTAACCCTCTTTTTGATTTCGCTGTCTCAGTTAATATATTAATATGAGCAAGTTTCGCTTTGCCATTGAGCCAGCAATTCCCTGGAGCGCTGTTATGCCCAAGAATCAGACCGAAGCCCCAACCTATGTAAATAATTGCCTGGCATAGGGTAACAACATATGCTGGGCAAAAAGCCGGGCCAGAGCAACGACGCGCAACTAATTGCAAAGTACTGCCAAGAACGGGGGTAAAAAGTTACGACAAGGCATACTCTTCCCTGCACATCCAACGTCTGCTTATTCTCGTATTATTTGTTTTTTTTTTTTAATAGGGAATGCAACATTCATCTCGCAACAAATATTTCAGAAACAGCTTTAAGCGTCACTTTTGGGGTTTTCTAAAAAATGTACTTTCCTGCATTGCTTGCTTCTTTACAAACAATATTTTCTTTATTTTACTTTAAAAATATTGCCGTAATATTTTGTCCTAACTAAGAACTTAAACTTTTTTTAAGGAACTTTGTGTTCAATGCGCAAAGAAATGTGTGTAAGAACAGATTTAGAGTATGTGTTCCAGTATTCCTCGATGATTCGTATTAAAGGAGCTCTATTTATTATTGATACTTTTTCCGTTAAATGCGTGACTCATACGCAGGATTCCTTCCAGACCCCCAATCAGGTGGAGTGTTCCAGTTATTACACCGCCAAGCCATTGTTCAATCCTTCACAGCACATTTTGGTGCTCTATACACCCTACAGACACACAGACGGGCATACACATGCAGATACATATGTGTACATTTGAATAATGCACAAATCGTTTTATTATAGCTCATTTTTGCTTAGGCATTTATTTTTATGGCCGCCAGGCGAAGCACTTCAATATTCTTGCCAACAATGGGCGCACACAGCTCGCCGCTTCCTTTTGTAGTGGCTGCTGGCGTCGCTGTTCGTAAATAAATAAAGGAATCCTTTGGCTGCCTTCTCCGCTTTCCACTTTTGCATTTTGTTGAACTTATGAATTGATGCCTAAAAACTCGACAGGAAGAAGTACACTTTCAATGATTCCACAATGCGGGGCAAGTCGATACCGTAGCTGTGAAGTACCGCAATCACATCTCGCAGAGTCGCTGAGTTCTACAACAAACAATAAAATGGGGGAAAAGTGGAAAATTAAATGAGTGCAATTGAAGGTACAGTGCCTGTTTCGTGTATGTAGCAAGGATGCCATAACTTTTTATATCGCACACTCTACGCCTTCTGCCCTGGTTTATCAAATCAAAGCAGCAATATTAATGATTCCGCGACTGAAAAAAAAAACTGACTCCGGCTCTTATTTATGCGCTTTGTAGTGCCGAGGCACTTTCAATTATACGTACGAGTATAGGTCCGTCCATTGAATTTATACGAAATCAATTGGCATATTTTCACACATAAAAATAAATTCCGCTGCTGCCAAACATTTTTCACGTATAGGGAAAGAAGGCTCGGCGCAATACGATTTCATAAGTATGTGATGCACGTAGGCAGCTCAATTGCCAATTAGAAGAACGCCTTGGCCATGATGGCGGCTCCGGTAACTTGGCTTAAAAATAAAAACAGAGCCGGGTCGAGCGTGCAAAGTTTGGCGGAAGTTGATTTGTATACCGCACACACACACACACGCACATACACACGCACACAAACCTACAAAAGCCATCTCGTCCTGGGTCATACATAAGGCAAGCGGGCTAATAAAATATGCCGCGCCCTAAAGCCTGCTACAATATTTCGCTCACGTCCTTCAGGCCAAATTATTAGGCGGTGGCAATGGCAGCAACGAAAGCGACACACGCCGAATGGAAAAGCGTAGCTGTTTTTGGCTTTTAAGTGCAAATTATTAAAAAAAAATTGTTAAGAAAAAAGGATTCCATGCTCTTTCCCGACAGTCCCATGTACGTTTGTAGTTGCTGTGCGGATCCCGGATCACTTGAAATACAATCACGTGCCCTTTCTGTTGTGTTGTGGTTTCATTTGCTTGGCTCACCTTTAGATTCCACAAGAGGTTGGCAAACTTCTGCGTGCCTATACAGTCCACTAAGTGAGCGAATCCTTCATCCGTTTCGATTTTGTCAAAGAATGTGGCCAGTACTTGGTCCATGGGCAGCACGTCGAGCACGCTGTCCACCAGTCCATGCAGACCGTGCAAATTATCCTTGGCAGCACCTTCCCGAACGTCTTCAATACAGCTGGCAGAGGGCGTGACAGCAATTTCTGTAAAGAACATATGCGGAGTGTATCCCAAAAATCAATAACAAGCACGCAAATTTAATTAAAAACGTTATAGCTGAAATGCGGCATATACTAGAGGCCCCATGTATCCCCCATGGCCAGGCTATAGATTTCCAGTTCGACTAAAGCCATGTCATGGCCTGTCTGGACAGTCTCTGATGCGTCTACCGTGTCTAGTGCTCGTCTGCATAGTTCGTCGCATGCATGTAAATAATTCAGAGCATGTGCGAGCGTCGATAGTCCTATGTAGCGATGAACAGTGTTAGCCAGGTAGAAGGGGAGCGGGCAGCAGGGCAGCAGGGAAGCAGGGGAAGTGGTGTGGTAACCAAACCCATTGGGGTTCATGGACCATGACATTGAACATATTCGCAATGCCAGACCATGCAACATGCAAAGCTCGAAGTTATGTAAAAAGCTTGTCTGCGACCGACCATATGTGCGAGCCAAGCAAAAGTTGGCCTGTCACTCATACGCACCGTTGCCTGCTGCGGCGCTTAGTGACGTCCAACCCATGGACCCTTGCAGCGCCAACGCCAGCTTAACCACATCGAGGCCACTGCTGTTCAGATATTGCACAAACGCTCGCACTTCCGGCAGCTCCACAACCCGTTGCTGCAGAATCGCAAAATTACTGCTAGAGAGAAATGCGTAGGCCCGTTGCACTTCCTCGTCGTGGCGATAGTAATTACGGGTAATTGCCTGAACCTCCTGCACTGGTATTAGCGCCACGAAATCGCGGAGATCGACGGGCGGTCCCCTTGCCGCCACCTCCTGCTTCTGCTTCTGCTCCAGCGACTCGCGCGACTGATCTAGTAATGAGTCCTCTTCATCGGAGGTCAGCAAATCAATTTGGTGCGGCCGTTGTGTGACCATCGACTGCTTTTGGCTTTTATGCGCCAGGAAAATCAAATCATCCGTGGCCTGCTCCTCCGCACTTCCACCGGACGCTGAAGTGCTCTCGTCGCTGAACGTACTTAGCGTGACAATGAAATCATCAGTTGTGTGCGGGTAGGCGAGAGTGTCGCGGATGGCAGGAATGCAGGAAGCGATCAGAATTAGCGCAATGCTTTTCATTATTGTGGCGCAATGTCTCCCGTAAATGCTTTTCGGCTTCGCCCCGAACATAGACCTTCTTGCTGTCGTATCGCTTTGAAACTGACCGTCTCACTCACTGGGAGCACAAAGTAAGGCCAGCAATGCGACAAAGTGTAGAGTTTGTAGACTGCGATGCTTTATTTCACTTAATGCGGCGATTATTTAATTGAATATAATAAAATCACTTTCAGTTTATTTACATGAACTGAAAAACGAACGGCGCTCGAGTAATGCGTATGTGAAAAGCTCCGTTAATGCAACCAAAACACTATTACGCCTTTAATATTTCTCGTAATATTTCCAATTGCGTGAATGTTAATTGCTAACAGCCGAGTAAGTAGGCAGATAATCTGAATAATAGAAAATTGTAAAAACTAAATAAATATCAAATCAATAACAATTTGTTTTACTTTCAAAGCTCCCGCATGCATAATTTTAAAGTAAAATCACTTTCTATTAAATAAATATATTAATGTGCCAATTTGACAAAATATCAGTATTTTGGACATTATTCATAAACTACAATTGAAGTGAAAGTGAAAAGCTCCATTAATGCAACCAAAACACTATTACGCCTTTAAATAAAATAAGAGGCAATTTCAACTTTTAAAAAAAATCAATAACAATTTATTTTACTTCCAAAACTACCGCCTACATAATTTTAAAGTAATGTCACTTTCTATTTAATAATTGGCTCAATTTAATAAAATAAGTAGCAATATTTTGAATATTATTAAAGGCTGTGCAATTGAAGTGAAAGTGTTTCAAAAAGCACATTTAGCATATGTATTCAAGGAGTCGCTGAAATAGCTGCTGTTTAAACATCTTACTAATCTTACTATAAAATCGCATTAAAAAATATGGCCTGATTTAGATATATTAATAAATAAATGAAAATAAAAAAAAAATTCCACTTAATAAAGTTTTGCTGAGTGTGTTTCAATCACCAGTCCATTATTCGGTTGAATCTTTGCATCGGAGCTTTATTTTAGATCAGATAGTCGGCTGGCAAGGGAATGCAAATGGGAGGAGTTCCACTGGACTGACTGGTTTGAGTAATATTGTTAAGTTACGTTTTATCATTTAATTTACATTTAGATAGATACTCTCTACGGTCATACGAATAGACTCGAGTAGATTACTCGCGGCTTAAAGTTATTAATTTAAGACACAATGAGGGTATATAGCTTCGGCTAGGCAGAGGATATCTATGTCTACGTCTTGCTGGGCACAATAATATGTACAAGTATTATAAAAAGCGAACACCCACCACATCCATCAGATATATTTTGATTGAGGCTGGTTGCTTATACTCGTACTTAGCAACTTTATCAGCGAGCTTACGAATATTTATGTGCTTGCAGCAAAATTCTAAAACTTGTACATTTTTTGGCAGAATTTCTCTTTTTCATTTCCCTTTTTCATTTCCCATTTTCATTTACTGATAAGTGACTGGCGTTTACTTGGTAGCTGCTCGTATACACAAATATACATACAAGTATAAGCGTTTATGCAAACTTGTCCAGCTGCATTAATTATACAGAGAATAAAGTGCCAGGGCGCACTTAAAATAGGGAAAATACTCGCACATACTTACAGCTTACTCGTAGTATATTCTAAGTTCTCAGCAGCTGCACATGCACATTTCTGAAGTGCACTCAAGTAAATGTAAATAGCACGTCGAATCGTTTTTAAGTAAAATGCATGAAATATTTCTCCGAATTACATAAAAGCATATTTAAAGCTATGATTTATGCAGCATATAAATTAGGCTTTTATCAAAAACAAGTCAATTGCACAATAAAGCAGACCCTCAGGCATTCTATCCGCACTCACATACAAACATACACGTGCACACATACTGGAGAGTATTTCTCTAATGCAACATCAATTATGGGGCAACAATTGTGGTGAGCTGTGGCAAGATTTAATGCAAAATTTAATACTTGTCCGGCATACGAGTGTGCATATGTTCATATACTTAGTGAGTAATATGTAATCAGGATATGCATGCATGTACATATAGTACGTCTACAAGGCTATGTATCTGTGCCATACGTACATACTCGTACATTGGCAGCTGTTACACTTGTCACTCAGTTAGTCAGTCGTGCCGTGTCACTCAGTCGCTCATTTTTTCATTTTTATTTTTATTCTCGACTCTGTGCGTTTCGTTCTAAGTAACTAACTAGTACATGTATGTATGTATGTATGTACGTTAATGTCTGACAGGCACACAGATACAGACTCACCACAGACTCACGCTGCACACAACACTCATTCATTCAATCATTCATTCAGCAAGTTAAGTAGGAATAAAATTGTCAATTTTCATGTCATTATATCATGCCGCGCACTCTCCAATGTGTCACAGTCTTGTCAAAGTGTCTGTGAATCTCCGACTATGTAGCTTTGTGTGTACATACTATATGTGTTTATATACTAGTGTACGAGTATACATACAAGTACATACATGCATGTAGGCATGTGCACAGTTATGATTTATTCACTTCGTTTGATTTATTACAAGCCGCAGCCCACAGAAAGCTCAAATGTATTCATGTGAATGTGGGGGTGTAGGTGCCTGCCTGCCTGCCTGCCTGCCTGCCTGCCTGCCTTCCTGCCTCTGTGTAATATGCATGTAAATTGTTCGCATACAAACCAATAATCATTTTATTGTCGTCGCCGTCTTGTTGTCATCATCATTATCATCATCAGTCTCAGGCCACCCCACCCCAGCCGTGGATTGTACAAATTTTCACATAAATAATATTTCTTTGCTTAACTTTATTAAAAGTTGCCGCCTCTACTCGTAACACATGACACTTTGGAAATTTTAGAGCAGGCCTAAGCACCAAGTCAGCCGCAGACACAGCTATGGGGGAACTTGGTAGCGCACACCCCTATATCCTTCCTGCCCAAGTCTGGGGACGGCCGTCCACCAAGTTGCGCTATAAGCGGACCAAACTTATAAATTAATTTTGCCACACGAAATACTTTCGAAACACTTGGCATACCTCAGGTGCCGCAAAGCCTCGAGTCTCGGCCTAAGGAATTGCATTGCGCCGCGTAAGGTGACACCGTTGGGGTAACCGGTGGCAGGGGGCTGTGGCAGGCGCCGCAAGTGTCGCGGTTATGCTTAAGTTACTCGTAATTAACTGCAGTCCGTGGACACGACCACCTGTGACAGTCGCCCCACCATTCCGCCATCCCGCCATCCCGCCATCTTGCCACCCCATATAGCAACGGAACTTTCATACTTTTACGGCCAGCCTGCTCGCAAGTTAATTTCTTGGGTACGCGCCTCGGTTTAAAGCTGGCGACTGCGACTGCGACTGCTACTGCGACCCTTTTGTTTATGTTGTCGCATAAAAAACTCAATTTTACCGCTAGTGTCAACATTTATTTCCAACTTAACACTTTGGCGTTACAAGGCGCGCTTAATCCGTCGCAGTTGGGCATAGGACGCAGGACGCAGGACGGAGGACGCAGGACACACGAAGCAGGCGGCAAGACTTGACTAATTTTGTGCAAAGTTCAGCATTAACATTACCGCAAATTAGCAAAAGTTTTCGCACAAACAGCCAAAAAAAACCCACAAAAAAATAATAAGAAAGTAGCGGAAACAAAGAGCAGAAGACGTAGAATCGGCAAGTGGTAAAAGCCACATGGAACTCGAGTTCCATGGCGTTTGAGTTGTAGTTGTTATTGCTGTTATTGTTGCAGTTGTTGTTGCCAACGCCAATCTGAATGCCTCGCTAGCTGCCATAAATTAACTTGTCTTGGCAAGAAACTGCCTGCCGAGCACTTTTCCTACTTCTCGACTAATCTGCGAGTGTGCGACTCAGCGTGTCTGTGTGTGTGTGTGTGTGTGTGTCTGCCAGATTTTTGTTTAATTTGCAACGTGTGGCTTTGTTGTTGCTAAGTATTGTTGTTGCCCCCGTAGTCTGGGAGTAGTTTTAATTTGTGCGCGTGTTGCAACTCACGCTCATGGCATTATGGTTATGCATCGGTGGCATTTGGTGAGCAGGCCCGGCTAATTAAATTAAATACACGGAAGGAACAACAAATTCGGAGTAAATACTTGAAACATTTGATTTAGTTATGTATCTTTATCAAATTATCGAATTAAAATGATATCTCAACATGAGTAGAAATTTAGTTTATTTTAAAAAAAAGGTGGAAATTTGAAAATAACTTAAGAAAAATTGTCAAAACTAGAAGAAAATATCGAAAAGTATGCTAGAATGAAAACTTTTGTGAAAGTCGTCTGTGAACCAATTGGCCAAATAAGATGTGAATTAATAGAATTAAATGGAATTTGTTTGCCAAAAACAATATATTAGTCTATAAAATGAATGAAAGCAAGAGTTATTTAAACACATAAGCAAGCAAACAAACATTTCACAAAAGTAACTAAATGGTAAAAGGGTATACTAATATAGAATGTATGTTACACAAATTTTTATACTCTGTACATGAAATATACAAGAGCAAGTATACAGTGAAACCTCTATTGGCCGGACACTCCCCGTCGGACATCTTTAGTCCGGCCAAGGGGAATGTTCGTTTAAGAAGATACATAGATATACAAGATACATAGACATACATTAGGCTTGCAGGAGGTGAAATATATATTCTTCATCAGCATGACTAGAAGAGTCGATCTAGCCCAGTCTGTCTGTCTGTCTGTTCGTCTGTCCGACAGTATACCTTGATCTCAGAGACTAAAAGACTAAGAGATAGAGACAACAAATGTGTCTTATGTGTGTACACTGTACGAGTTTGTTTTATTTGTTGGTTACACCCCCACTTCTTCTCTATAGGGGATTTTCGGAAATGCCGTTCGTATAATCATTTATAACTCGAAGAATTGGAGAGCTAGAGGCATCAAATTTTTAATCCAAGATGTTCTATATAAATACGAAGAAAATGTGTATTTAAGAATTTCCCTTCCCATTTTTGTTTAAATTTTTTTTACATTCTTATAATAACCCTACACATATGAGCAGAGTATTTCTAAATCGAGACACCCTAGTTTTGCTT